CAGTCCCCCGGTGCGGGCGTGACATTGAGGGTTGCGATCCCGTTACTGGTCAGTAAAAAAAGACAAAAAAGGAAAAAAAAAAAATGAAAATTCCTAGGAGTAAATATAACCAAGGAGGTTAAAATCCATACAATGCAAACTAAAAGACATTGATGAAAGAAATTGAAGATGACACAAATAAATTGAAAGATATCACATGTTCATGGATCAGAAAAATTAATATTTTTAAAATGTCCTTATTACTCAAAGTTATCTATAGATTCGATACAATCCCTATCAAAATTCCAATGGAATTCTTCAGAGAAGTAGAAAAAACAATCCTAAAATTCATATGAAACCACAAAAGACCCTAAATAGCCAAAGCAATCTTGAGAAAGAAGAAAAAAGCTGAAGACATCACACACACTAATTTCAAACTATATTACAAAGCTACAGTGATCAAAACACTATGGTACTACCATAAAAACAGACCGATGGAACAGAATAGAGAGACCAGAAATAAATCCGCACATTACAGCAATCTGATTTTCAACAGAGCTGCCAAGAACACACAATGGAGAAAGAATAGTCTCTTCAATAAATGGTGTTGGGAAAACAGGATATCCACATACTGAAGTATGAAATGAGACCTTTATCTCACATCATATATAAAAAGCAACTTAAAATGGATTAAAGACTTAAGTATAAGACCTTAAACTATGAAACTACTAGAAGAAAACATAAGGAAAAAGTTCTATGATCTTGGTGTAAGCAATGATTTTTTTGGATATGACATCAAAACCACAGGCAACAAAAGCAATAATAGACAAATGGGATTACATCAAACTAAAAAGCTTCTCTACAGCAAAGGAAACAGTCAACAGAATGAAGACACAACCTACACGAATGGGAGAAAATATCTGCAAGCTATACATTTGATAAAGGGTTAATATCCAAAATACATAAGGAGCTCAAATAACTCAATAGTAAGAAAACAAATAACCTGATTGAAAAATGGGCAAAAGACCCAAATAGACATATCTCAGAAGAAGACATACAAATGATCAGTAGGTATATGAAAAAATGCTCAGCATCACTAATCATCAGGGTAATACAAATCAAAACCACAGTGAGATATCACCTCACTCCTGCTAGAATGGCTATTATCAAAGGGACAAAAGATAAAAAGTCTTAGCAAGGATGTGGAGAAAAAGGAATCCTAGTACACTGTTGGTGGGAATGTGAATTAGTACAGCCATTATGGAAAACAGTATGGAAGTTCCTCAAAAATTAAAACTAGAACTATCATATGATTTACCAATCCCACTATCAGGTATATTCCAAAGGAAATGAAATCAGTATGTTGAAGAGATATCTGCACTCCCGTGTTTATTGCAGTATTATTCACAATAGCCAAGATATGGAAACAACCTAAATATATATTAACAAATGAACAGATAAAGAAAATGTGGTATATATACACAATGGAATACCATTCAGCCATAAAAATGAATGAAATTCTGTCATTTGGGACAACATGGATGAGCCTGGAGGACATTATGCTAAGCGATTTAAGCCAGACACAGAATGACAAATACTGTATGTATGATCTCACTTATATGTGGAACCTAAAAAAATCAAACTCATAGAAACAGAGCAGAATGGTGGTGATAGGAGCTGGAGGATGGAGGAAATGAGAAAATGTTGATCAAAGGGTACAGACGTTTTTATAAGATGAACCAAGTTCTGGGAATCTATTGTACAGGATGGTGATGGGTAGGTTAATTAATTTGACTGTAGCAATCATCACACAATATGTATGTGTATCAAAGCATCACACTGTACACCCTGAGTATACACAATCTTGGTCAATTAAATATGTAAAAATAAATAAGTAAAACTTGCAAGTAAGAAAAAAACGATAAATTCCGTAATTAAGAGTCTAAAAGAAGAAAGGTAAGATTTTGCTTGTGGTTACAGAATAAGTGGAGCCAAATGAGTAAAAATTTTCTTGTTCAATTAAATATCAGTGAAAAACTGGAACGAACTCAAAGCCTGCCAGTTGTGCAATGGTTTTGTACATTGTAGTAACCTACAAGTTCAAATATTATGCATGTATTTAAAAAATCATTGTGAAAATGTTTATGGCCTGATGCTAAGTGAATTAAGAAGATTAAAAAATTGTGCCTAAAATTATGGGTGACAACTTTTCTTTGTATTTGATTTTTTTTTTTTTTCCTTTTTGTCTTTTTCCGTGTCTGGCAACGGATCGCAACCCTCAGTGTCGCCCCCGTACCGGACCGGGGACCGGCAACGGGATCGCAACCCCTGGTGTTGCTCCCGTGCCTCGCTCAGCCAGTGAGCGGGAACCGGTCTGTATGTGGGATCCGAACCCTCGGCGGGAGCGCCGCCACGCTTCCCAAGCGGTGCACTATAGCAGTGCGCCACTGGGCCGGCCCCACTTTGTATTTGATTTGAGCAATAATTAGTTAAAAAACTAGAAATGGAAATATTTTTAAAGCTATTAATTTTAAATTGATGATTTAAGGCCAGTCCCTCCTGATTAGATTTTATGATTTAAAAACCAAACAGATGGTTTAGGGAGGAAAACCCAGCACTTTATGAGAAGTTCGAATAATCAAGCAATTGATGACATGAAGTAAATGAACCTCCATGTATTGACTTTAAAAGAAGGCTTTCCTGGGAATGATGCAGCCCAAAAGTAATGGTAACTGTCATATAAAACCAAAGGCTAGACTGAAATACTATCAGAGTATGGTCGCCACATCATTGATTCTTCACTAAAACTCTTCTATTGAAAGGCCCAATTTTTGTAGAGTGCTGAAGTAGGACTTGAGACCAGGCATCACAAATCTGTAAACTTACCATTTATGCTTCTTAAAACTTTCTAACCATGATCCCTGGTCTCTTGAGTACCATGGCAACTCCAACCAGGAAAGAGATGAAGCTCCCTTCAGATAGAACCTGTGTTCGTGTCATTCCTGAAGTCCTCTAGGTGTCATTGAAGATGATATGAACTATGGTTCACGAAAGCACTTTGCATTCATTCCACGAGCCCACTGAACACCTGTTACAACAATGAATAAAACAGAGCCCCTGCTCTGGAAGAATTTACAAGGAAACGGTACTACAAGTGCTGGGAAATTGCAAAGAACATGTGAATGTTAGCTCATGGTATCTTTTTAACATCAAACATTTTAAATTTTATTTCTTCTGTTTTTACATCCTCATTGTAGAAAACTCAAACGATTCAGAAAAGAATAAAGAAGAAAATAAAAATCCTCCCTGAAATCCCACCATCAAGAAATAAGCATTGCCAACATTTGGTGAGCATCTTACTTATGCATTCATGTATTAAATACTAGGGTATTTCAAAAAGTTTGTGGAAAAATAGAACTAAAAGGTAGTATAAATCTTTCCATGAACGTTTTGAAGACCCCTCATACATGGGACTTATACTCTAAGTGCTACTTTTCAACCTTCATTTTCTCAGCATAAGTATGTAGTGGATCTCCTGAGATGTTCATATACATCTTTTTTTTAATGTGATGTTAGCTATTATCATTATCATACATACTTCAGCCTGTCCTAAAAGCCTGCAGAATCTAACTCAAGCCACCTCTCTTCATCCACCTCTGCCTTATCTGGTAGGTATTGTCTCTCATTTCAGGGTAGAAGAAACCCTGACCTTGGAAGTGAAATGTCTTGGTTCTGGTGCAGACCTGTTCTGACTCTGGGCCATCACTTAAACCTCTCTTAGTTCCAATTTTTCCCTTTGGTAAAACCAGGGTAGCAAATATTTGTCCTGCTTGCTTTCTTTCATTCAGGAAAGGGGCCTCAGAGTCTTGAACAGCCAGAAACTGTACCAGGAACATGAGAGACAACAAACCACTCCTTGACCTCCAAGGAGTCTATAGGCCAGTGGGGAAGGCAGGTAAGAAAAAAGGAAATTACAAAACACTGTGTTAAGGGCTACCTCTACCCAGGTACTCCAACAGTCTTTTCTCAACTCATCATTCAGAGTAGCTCTTGAAATATGTGAATTAAACCATGTCACTGCTCCTACTCAAAAACATTTCCGTGGCTCTGAACTCATTCAGAGTCAAACCCGAGGTCTTCACTACGACCTACAAGAGCCTATGTGATCTGGCCACTCATTACCAATCTGCTCTCACCTCCTACTACTCTCTCCTTCTCTCACTCCACCCCGCTTGTTGTTCCTTAAAACACCAGGTATACTTTTCCGTCAGAGCCTTTGAACTGGCTGTTGCCTGTCTAAAATGACCTTCACAAAGATATTAACGTGGTTCCTAATTGGCCTCTTCCAAATTTTTGCTCAGTTGCAACTTTCTGTGTAAGGCCTGTTCTGCCCATCCTATTTAAAATCGAAACTCCATCTTGCTGTAGTATTCTGGATCTCCTTTATTACCTTCCTCTCTTATCTCTTTCTAATATATGTTATAGTTCATTCTTTATTCTGCTTATTGCCTTTCTCCCAGACTAGAATGTGAGCTCTACAAGGGCAGACATTTTTGTCTGCTTTGTTTGCTGATATTTCCACAGTGCCTAGAACAATTTCCAGCATAGTAGATGCCAAATAAATGTTTCTTGAATTAATTGAACAGAGCTGAATAGAGAAAGGGAGATGGGAGAGCTGCCCTATCACACAACTCCTGGAATCACCTTTCACACTGTAGTCCATGTGAGCGACATCTCCTGGAATTGTGCAGTGCTCAGGCTGCACAGCTGTATGCAGTGACCCTAACAACCACCATGGGATTACTTTGTCAAAGAGTATAGATTATTAAGTGAAAAAATTTTTTCTAATAATAAAAATATACAAAAAAACCTAAAGAAGAAGAAAAAATCATCCCAAATCCTTCAACCTAGCAGTAATATCTTCATTAACATTTGGTGGACATCCAATAGTACATTATGATGAACTGTCCATGTCCATGAACACAAACCCACAGAGTGTGGCTTCCCTGGCCAGTGGTATGATGGGCTACAGGAATTCCACCGCCAACAACGCAGGTGTGGGCCGAGGCCCTGCAGGTGCAGCTAAAGATGTAGCAGAAAAATCGATAACAGAAGATGACAAGAGGAGAAACTACGGAGGAGTATATTTTGGCCTATCATCTAAAGCTGTCAATATGGTGTCCAATCAAACAAAGACTGTATGAAAAAATTAGAAGAAAATAACATCATGACTTAATGGTCCAGAGCCTCTTCATCAATTTGGAAGTAATTTAGCTCCATGAGACATTGTAATAGGCACAAGTATTTCAAAGGAAATCTAAATAGTCATCTCCCTTCCTGTTCCCCCAAATCCCAAGTGTATAGTTAAAACCATGGGTAGATGTTGAATGGTGTGGTAACAGAAGGGAATTGGGGGCCGGCCCGGTGGCGCACTGGATAGTGCGCCGCTTGGGAAGTGCGGCGGCGCTCCCGCCCGAGGNAGGGTTGCGATCTGTTGCCGGACACGGAAAAAGACAAAAGACAAAAAAAAAAAAAAAGAAGGGAATTGGTTAGACAATTACACCTTTTTATGGGACTTTCTGTGGTCCACCTATGAAAGCCAAGTTCACAAACTGTCATGGAGGCTGTTGCTGTCTGGCCTGGGCTGCTGTGCCGCAGCATTTTCACCCTCCCATTCAACACAGCTCATGGAGGTCATGTCTTTTTCACCAATACTTTTTTGTTAGTTTTTATATAACAGGATCCTTATTCTATTTATAACTTTAGATAATAAGGCACTATAAATGAATTACCTAAAGTAATGTATTTATCTTTCACTATTTCTATTTCACATTAATTTTTAGCTGTAAAATTGGTAAATTAATTCTCACTGTTATTTCTTTGCCTTTTTTACTATTTGGTTTTCAAATTTTGTTTAAATGTCAGAGAATTTCCTTTATTGGGAACAGTGTATTACATTGTAATATTTAAAAATAAACTTAAATACTTAAACTTGCATGCAAAAAAAAGAAAAAAAAAACACAAAAATATACCAAATCTATATTCTCTCTTTAAACCAGGTGTCTGCAGATTAAGACCCATAAGCCAAATCCACCTGTTTTTTCTTTTTCTGAAATAGAGTTTTATTGGAACACAGCCATACCCATTCCTTTATACATTATCTATGGCTGCTTTTGTGCTACAATAGCACAGTTGATTATTTGTGACAGAAACCACATGGCCCACAAATCTATCATATTTACTATCTGTTCTTTAACAGAATAGTTCGCCAACTCCTGTTTTGTGGTTGTGTATTAAATAGCATGAAAATACCCTACTTGATTATTCCCCTATTGGTACACAATTAGCTTGTTGTCAATTTTTGTTGATGAACAGGTCATCTATACATCTTTGGACACTTGTCCAGTATATCACCTTAGGATAAGTTCCTAGAAGTGGGTTGGCTGGGTCAAGCATGAGCTCTGTAAAGGTTCTTGACACTCATGATTAAAATAACCCCATCATGGAAACATGTATTCTTTGACCTCATCTATTTCCATGCTTTTGTATTTTCTTTGTACAGTTTGGCTTTGTTTAGTTGGCTCAGGTAAAATTAGTTTATTCTGATATCATTTCAAACTCTTTATAATGTACATTCAATAGCAAATAAGAATATTTTACAACTTAATTACGTAATTTTACATGTGTTTTGTTTGCATTTTGGCCATACTATTTTCACCCATCTACTATATTACTTTATTAGGTTTCTGGTGAAGATTTTATAATTTTTTTTAAGAGGTCACTGCTGCTGAGCCTCTAAACCCCCACATGAGCTGTGAAGAGGTGCTATGGAGATGAACTTCAGGTAGAAGAGCAAGACTGGGGTGGACACCTTAGACTCACAATGTTAATGCAGTGTAAGACCTTGGAAGTCATTAAGTTCAAAACACTTCTTTTCCCATTAAAGAAATAAAGATTGGGGGAAAAGTGATTTTGCATAAGGTCACAATCCTAGTGTATTAAAGACCAAGGAACAGAACCTAAACTGACCTTTTCTCCACCATGTCTTGCTTTCTTTAGTCAATTTTTTAAATGTATTTTTTGAATTGAAACATAATTGATTATACATATTTATGGGGTACAGAGATGACTATCAGTATAGTATTTGTGTATAGTATGTGATGATCAATATTATTAGCACGTTCATCATTACAAATCATAACTATTCTTTGTGTCCCTTCCCAATTCCTCCATACCCTCCTCTGCCTCCCCCTTTCCCAGCTCTAGTAACTATAGGTCTGTTCTCTCCTTCAAAAGTTCAAAGTTTTATTGTGGTCTTTCTTTCTTACTTATGAGTGAGGACATGAGGTATTTCTCTTTCTGTGTCTGGCTTATTTCACTTATAATTTTCTCCGAGCTCATCCATGTTGCTGCAAATGGGAGAATTTCATTCTTTTTTATGGCTGAGTAGTGTTCCATTGTGTCTATATACCACATTTGCCTTATCCAGTTGTCCATTGATGGACACTTAGGTTGGTTCCACATCTTGGCTATTGTAAATAGAGCTGTTATGAACATGGGAGTGCAGGAATCCCTTCGACATGATGATTTCCATTCCTTTGGGTATATACCCAAAGGTGGGATTGCTGGATCATATGGTAGCTCTATCTGTAGTTGTTTGAGAAACCTCCATACTGTTTTCCATAATGGCTGCACTAATTTACACTCTCACCAACAATGTAGAAGAGTTCCTTTTTCTCCATAGAATATTTTATAATGTTATGCTAATTTGTCTTATTTTTATTAGAATATTCTGTTTACTGAAGATTTTCTATGTTAAAAAACAAGGCAGCGAGACAAAACACAAAGACTAGAAACCAGCCATGGCCTCTGTGGTGTGCCGGCACTAGTGTGTAAATACCAGAGGCAAAATATGTCCATTTTATTTTTGTTGTTACAACTCCCTGTGACCTCATTTAAAGACATTATTGCCAAAGTTGAATTATGTATGAAAGCAAGTATGGGAGATATAAAGCAGGGAAAGAAAAGTGCAAATCCAGTAAAGCAACATCTCAACTACTATGATTGTTACCTCCCCCCCGCCCCCCATAAGACTGACCCTAGGCCAGGGCTGCAAAGTTCCAAGAAAGATCAGTTAAAAGTCAAACTATTTGAAATGACTTTGGTCACACCAGTGAAATTTGGTTATATTAAGAGAAAAAAAATACTTGACTGTCAGCTTGAGAGACGGGCTGTTGTATTCTCTCTATATTTCCAACACTTAGTAAAGAGCTGATGCAGCTTTTTTTGAATAAATGAATAGGTAAGAATAAAATTAATGCATAAATTTTAAAAATCTGTCATTTTTTAAATACTTGGAACTTGTATGTCTGGTTTAGCTCAGTGGTTCTCAACCTTGGCTGCACATTAGAATCCACTTGGAGAGTTGTTTTTTTCTTTGCTTTTTATCAATGTATTATATACAGAAAAGTACACATACCTTGTGGAGCTTTTAACACCTGCTAATGCCCCCTAGAATAATTAAAATTAAAAAGACTAACAATACCTCATGTTGTGGCAGAAATGTAGAGCAACTGATGCAAAGTAATATAACTACTTGGGGAAACTTTGGAAGTTTCTTTATGAATTTAAACAGACGCACAAAGAAAAGTACCACATGTTCTCACTTATTTGTGAGAGCTAAAAATAAATAAATAAATAAATATACAAACAAATAAATGGCGGGGGGTGAAGAAGACACAACAATCACAATTCCTTGAACTTGTTAAGACAAGTGAACAGATATAATGTTGATGAGGGCAGGGGGAAGAGGGAGGGGAGAAAGAGGAATTGGTAAAGGGACATGAAAATCACATTGTATACTGATAAATTAAAATTAAAAAACAAACAAAAACCCCATACACTCAGCATATTACCAAGTAATTCCACTCCTAGGCATTTACACAGAGAAATGAGCTCTGTGACATTAGGCAAGGTATTTCATATTCTAAGTATTTGTGTCCTTATCTGTAGGAATAGGGACAATGTCTAACATCATTAGGGTGTTGTGAGGATTAAATGGTGTGGGCTAATATAATTTTGCAGAGCCTGGCACATGATAAGTTTTTACTCAATCTAAGTGATTTCTTTTCTCCCTCAAATGCTAAGTTGTCCATTTCACATTCTGGTCCTAATTATAGCTTTTACAGAGACCATTCAAAAATACTTCTCTTCTATTTGGAGTCTGCTGTCTATGAGGTAGCAGAAAAAGCAATGGCCCAGTTATATAAAGTCCCAGTTTCTTTTTTCTTTTTTTTTTTTTGTCTTTTTCGTGACCGGTAAGGGGATCGCAACCCTTGGTGTGGTGTCGCCCACACCGCGCTCAGCCAGTGAGTGCACCAGCCATTCCTATATAGGATCCGAACCCACGGTGAGAGTGTCGCTGCGCTCCCAGTGCTGCACTCTCCTGAGTGCGCCACGGGGCCGGCCCTAAAGTCCCAGTTTCTAATTTCTCCCAATCCCAGCATGTGGGAATCATACCTGAAAAGGGAAATCATACCTGAAACCTAGGTGTGTCCAACCCTTCAAAGGAGTTTGTGAAGATCAAATGAGATCACATATGTGAACTAGCTCTGAAAACCCTAAAGCGCTGTACAACTATCAGGGAGTATGCTTGTGATGGAAAGACTGGGATAACAAATTCTGTCTGCCACCTCCAGTGTTTTAGAGAGGAGAAACATTGAAACTGTGCTTAAGGAATGCTTGCCCATGAGCAATTCTTTCATCCACTTATTGGGTATTCTTCATTCAAGAATCTCCCAGAAAAAGAAAAGAGAACCATTCTAGAATATATCCTGAAGACCCTAGCATAATAGGCTGGTTGCTGCTGCCAAAAAAGGTGCACAAAATACATCTCAGGATACAGCATCCCACCCATTCATCAAACGAAGGCCAGTCTGTACAGGGAATGTTTGTGAAGTTCTGATCACTGAAATATAAAGGCTAGAGTATGCCTAGGGGGGCTTGAGTGGGAGGTGGGCGGATAGAGTAGTGGATGGGAAGCTAACCACATTGATATTTTGTTCAATTTAATCTTACAGTAACCCTATAACTAGATATTAGAATTATTGCTTTACAGAGGAGGAAACTGAAGCTCTGAGAGAAGCTTGTCCAGGATTACTCTGGAAGTGATGGGCTAGGATTTAAAGTTCACATTCTTGAACCT